GTCTGCCTACTCCAAGTATCTACCAGCAGCCTGCCAAGAGTCCTCTGGTCTGGTCCAAAATGCCTTCCCTTAGCAAGTGCTGGGTATTGTGCTAACACTTTGCTTATATTATCTCACTTATTCTTCTCAACAACTCACTGGGGTGAGTTTTTGCTCACTAGTACAAAGTCATGTAGTGAGTTAGTATTAGAGCCTAGACTAGACCACAGCCCCCTTTGCCTTCCAACAGCCAGTACTGCAGGCTCTTCTTCCTACTCTCCTAGGGCCCTGGAGCCCCTTTGCACTAGGGCCCTGGAGCCCCTTTGCACACCCCCATTCACACACACAGAAAGCCAGAAGTCCCTGAGAGCTTACCTGCTCCTGGGGAGGCCCCTAGCTAAGACTGTCAGGAGGTGCTGGAGTATCAGACCAGCTCCTCTGTCTCTTGCTGAGACAGTTCTGGAGTCTATTCTCTAGCAGTCCCCACAGGAGTAGGCGGAAATTATTTTCTATATGACTTTTGTCTTGCTTTGCCTCCTCCCTTCCCCTGTCTTGCTCCTCCTATATCCCAAGCACGTCACTAGCTTACAAGGGTCAGCTTCTGGGCAATCAGGATACCCACTCGGGTACGGGCTGAGCTGGAGCAGGATGTTATTCAGTGACTGATTACAAGAAAGAATTCGGAAGCTGTGTCTAGCAGTGACAGCCTGATCAAGAGTTCAGATGACCCCAGAGATCCCACTAATTGTGTCATATGGGAAATAGACTTCAAAAGAGCCCCTCAAAGTGGAAGGCATTGAATTAGGCAATTTATATTCCTATCTTATTTAATATTAAAACATCTATTGGACTTTTCCAGTTTTCGTTGGAATGTATGAGATCATACAGATTCAACAAAGTTCACCTTTTACTAATCTTAAAATCACATCGTAGGTGAAATAGCATTTCTGAATTTCACTTGGGTGGGACTCTTGCTATGGTGCCTCAGTTATGTGAAGCTTCGTTTGACTCCACCGTCACTGCCCACCCTTCTCCTGCTAAATGTCCTGTTTTCTGTGTATTGATGTACATGACATATATGGGGGTGACATTTACTTTTACCCCTGGGATGATGGCAGATCTGGATGATACTCGAGAGCAGTGCTATCTAAGAGAGTAGCCACTGGCCACATGCAGCAATTCAGCATTTGAGGTATAACTGGTCCGAATTGAGATGTGCTTTAAATATAAAATGTCCATGAGGGATTTTGAAGTTTCTGTGGGAACAAGGATGTAAGTTATCTCATTAATCACTTAAAAATATTTATTACATGTTGAAATAACATTTGAGGTGTATTAGGTTAAATAAAAGATATTAAAATTAATTCCATCTCCTTTTACTTTTTAAAAACATGGTTACTAGAAAATTTGAAATTACAAATTTGGCTTGCATTATATTTCTATGGGCAGTGCTGCTCTAGGGACTCAAAGAAAGGGAGGTTTAGCAAGTGAAGTTGTCCAAATCCTGGACAGGCTGAGCTGGGAAGAAATTGTGTGCTTATTGTGATAGCAGGGTTCTTTACATGATCAGGGGGCAGCAAGGTGAGTTCTGTGTGACACCGCTTTACAAGGCACATGGTTCTGCAGATGACCATGCGTCTCTGGCCAAGAGGATTTATGGCTGACAAAAATGGCTTGTAAATCGGTCATTGGGCCAAATGACATCACTGCCTGTCTGCTTCCAAGTACTTTGCAGAATTCACATTTGTTGTTTCTTTTTTGCTGTCATATTCTTGAGGAGAAAGAGACCAGTTGAAGGAAGAGAAGAGGAGGAGGGAGGGTGGAAGGCTTATTCTTGATTAGAACAAGGAGGTTGGGGGGCGGGGAGGACACTTAGGAGATCCTAGGGAGAAGATCTCACTGGCTAACACAAAAAGTTCAGAGTCAGCTAGTCAAGTGATTTCTTTCTTTTTCTCAGTCTCTTTCTTTCTGGGGACTTTTGGTGTTTATGATTGCTCCTGGGAAACCAGAAGCAGGTAACTTTGTTTTGCGGATTTGGAAATGGGGAAAAGAAACTGATGGGGTATTCCCAGAGAGAAATAGGAGGCGTGGAAAAGGGAGGAGGAGCAAGATTTAGGGATAAAATGCCCTCTGTGTTGGTATGGAAGTCCCAGTTTGGGGAAGTGCATTCTATCATCAGGGCTCTACCCTGGGACTTTCCTATTTCAGTGACTTACTTGGCTGGGAGATTATGGCTTTAAGGCTCCTGTTCCTATGTCTGAAGTTCAGGAGGCCCAGTCACCTAGCAGCATGGTGACTGCCTCAAGTAGTACCGTTTGTGGGACAAGGTTTTGGCATTGTCACGAGCCTCCCAGCTCTGTTTGGGTGCAATTAATGCTTTACTCCCAAGGCATATGTCAGCAGCAAACTAAAGTGAGAACACACCTGTTAAAAGTGTTCTTTTGGGGGCACCTGGGTGGCTCAGTCAATTAAGAATCTGGCTGTTAGTTTCGGTTTAGGTCATGGGATCATGCCCCATGTTGGGCTCTGTGATGACGGCTTGGGATTCTTTCTCTCTCTCTTACTCTCTCTTTCTTTGCCCTTCCCCTGCAAGTACTCTCTTTCTCTCTCTCAAATAAATAAACTTTAAAAAATGTTCTTTTTGAGTGCTGCCTCTGTTCATAAGCCTACAGTGGCTTCTCCTTTCCCACTGAATAAAAAACCTAACTCCTTAGCCTGCCTCCAGTACCTTCCACAGTCAGGACCCAGGTTATCTGTTTGGACTGATCTCTCCCCACCCTCTCTCATCACCCCTGGGCTCCAGCCAAACCTGCTAGATCCTCTGCATGCCCCACACTCTTGCATCTACTTACCATGTGTATTACATGGATGTCCTATTCACAGTTGTCACATAGCAACCTTTTCTTTCTCCATGAGAAGCCATCCCTGGCCTCCACAGCACTTTATAAGTCTTTTTGACCCTTGTAGACTATTATTTGTGCAGACGTGTCCCTGCAAGATTCTGAAGAACTAGAGACTAGGGGAGAGACAGCCTGTATTAGTCAGCCTGTTGCCTTCAACAACAGAAACTTATTTTCTCACAATTTTAGAGGCTGGAAGTCCAAGATCAGAGTGCCAGTATGGTTGTATTCTGCTGAAGACTCTCCTGGCTTTATGGCAGAGGGTGTGGGGGGAGGGAGGGAGGGAAAGAGAGAGAGGAGGGGGGGCGAAGACAGAGTGAGAGAGAAAATTTTGATGTGTCTTCCTCTTCTTTTAAGGACACAAATCCTATTGGATTAGGACCCCACCCTTATGACTTCAGTTAACCTTAATTACCTCCTAAAAGTACTATCTAAATTGGTGGGTTAGGACTTCAATATATGAATTTTAGGGGAACTCAATTAAGTCCAGAGACTGCCTGATATTTAAATCCCTTCTGGATTTAGCCCAGTATCATACGCAGAAAGGGTACTCAGTAAATGCATGGGATATTGAAAGAAATTTAATTCCAGTACCTCCAAGTAGTTGTTTTTATAAGCTGCGCTCGTCCAGCCTGTGGGACTGCTGGGGTCCCATAGCCCATGGGAGGGCAAGAGGGAGTTAACAGGTTTTTGTGGAAATCAGACTCAAGGAATTGTTTCAGCTATGGCTATTAAGGATCAGCCTCATGAATGTACTGTCGCTGGTGGGAATATTGTGAGGCTGCTATTCATAAGAGAAATTCCATATAGTTTTTGTGCTGAGAACAATAGTAATTCTGAGCATTTGGATTTGTTAAATATATATATATATATAATTGTGTCACTGACCAGATGGTCTCTCTTTTGCATTGGCCAAATGGGAGGCCCACTTGTGGTGACATTTCAGTGGCACTTCTGGCCTCATTCATAGACTATTTTGATGTCTCCACTCGTATTTTTTTAATCTCCTTTCCCCTGCTTGTCATTTATGCAATCATTATATTTTAGATAACTTTTAGGTTTTCAAAACTCCAGCAATCTTTTCAGAAACACTGTAGGACTTCAGTTTATTTTAAAAATAAATAAAATTGCTCATACTTTTCCTGAGAGGAACTGATAATTCAAATATCGAAGTCCAGGTAGCATGATAAATTCATATATGAGCCTGGCAGGGGGGTAAAAAAAAAATCATCCCTGTATTTCTACTTATCTATTATTTATTGAGATAATCCTTACAGCAGAGTTTTAAATGACTGCTGAAATTCCCACTGCAGATGAGAAAGCTGAAGCTCCTGGAGATTAAGTAACATGTCCAAGTTCTGAGCTGGTGGATCCGGTTTTCAAATCTTGGTCCATCTCATGCCAAGATCAACATCTTTTCCATCTGTTCCCCTAATTTCAGGATAGACCCTAAATATCCAAAAGTCTAGTCCAGGGGAGGGAACAAGAAAGGCATACACCAGAGGTGAGACAGAGTAATGGCTTTGAGGAGTTCTGTCCTGCGGCAAAGCAATTCAAGACTCCCAGCTGCAGCTGGGAACCCACAGACAGGGGTTCAGCCTCTGGAGTGAGAGGTACTGTCAGGATCTCTTGTGTTACTGGAGGGCATTTGGGCCCTAGTTGGCCAGGCCTGGGTTTGGGGCCAGCCTTCAGGCCAGAGCAAAGCTTAAGTGAGAACTGAGAACCGAATCAGAAACCCTGTTTTGGGGTACTAGTACTTAGGAAGGTCTGGGCAGGGGAAGGGTACTACAATGCTCCCAGAAGACTCTCCAGCACTTTGAGCCATTATAGTAGTTCTTTGGGCCAATAAAGTAGTTTTAGATTCTACCGGCTTTGCCAGTAGGGCTCCTGTCCCTTCAGATCTGGGATTGCCTTAGGGACCACCTGAGACACAGCAGAACAGGACAGTTCAGTTCAGTAAGTATTGATTGAATATCTGATGTGTGCTGGGTGTTGGAGGAAGACAGAGCAATCTTCCCAGGTCCTGACCTTAGGGACCTCGCTGTTCTGTGGGGGCAGACAGCTGTGAACAGGGTCTTTTTAGGTCATGGTAGCACTCACATTCAGAAATCTCTCTTCCAGGGCCATGTTCTGCAATGATTTGAAGGAAAAGTATGAGAAGAGGATCATTATCAAAGGGGTTGATGCCGAGACCATGCACACTCTTCTGGACTACACATATACCAGCAAGGCACTGATCACCAAGCAGAATGTGCAACGAGTCCTGGAAGCTGCTAACCTCTTCCAGGTGTGTGAACAAATAGTCTCAGTACTTTTCTCCAGACAAGGGAAACCAGTGATTCCTCAGAGATATGCCTGGACTGGCTCCCAGGGCTGTACCTGGGACATACATACAACCACACCCATACCTACACTTAGCTGGGGCCCTACTTACTTGAAAGTCAGAAGATGCTCCTTTGGAAATTTCCTCAGAGGGGGTGAGATGTGGCATGGACTCCTTAATGCCATAAAGCCAGGGCAGCTTGGTGCCTAGAATCTATACATGGTTCTTGACTGCAGTGACTACAATTTGCGGAAGCCTAATTGGAGCCAGGAGTTTCTAATCCTTACTGGGAAGGAAGAGAAGGTAGTGACTTCTCCCTAATTTATAGGTAGGGAGAGTAAGGCACAGAGAAGGGGGTTATTTGAACCTGGGCCTTCTGAGTCCAGGAGCTACATGTTTGCCACTACACTATGCAGTCTCTGTGGGAACAAGTGTCTAGATTTGGGATGTGGGGCCTTGATTGGTTAGCACGTTGTGGTGGATATGAAAGAAGAGCACTTTTAATGAGGGGTATTGCAGAAGGTAAAAGAGAACCCTTGGGATTAATTTTGAGAGAGAGAGTGAGAGAGCGAGCTCGAGTGCACAAGTAGGGGAAGGGCAGAGAGAGATGGAGAGAGAGAGAATCCCAAGCAGGCGTCACAATGCCAATGCCAATGTGGGACTTGAACTAACTAACTGAGCCAAAATTAACCAAGCCACCCACGTGTCCCTAGGATTAAGTTTTATTATTTCATTTTGACTATGTTTCAATCTGATTACAATTATATTTAGCTTCATTGAATAATTACATCCATAGATTCTGTCAGTTGCGTCCACAGTTATCACTGGGGCCCCATCCCAAGTTACCATCTTTGCTTAGGTCTAAAAGTACACCTTAAACTTGGTTTTGCTGGGTGAAGACAGAGATTCTCTCACTGAGGATGCTGAGATTTATGACAAACAGAGTCCAGGGACAAGCCAGGTCATTCCCAGGGACTGGGACAAACATCGGATCTTGTGCATGGTTTGGGACTTTGGGAGGTGGTATCCTTTTGGATCCTCAGTAGGTCAGTAGTTGAAGGGAAACAGGTGGAGAACGAGGGGCCCAGAGTCAAGACCAGAGGCTTTGGGATCATTTTTGTGGAGACTGGCGCCAAGGCAGGATCTGTGGGGTCCAGCCAGGAGGGGAGTGTGGAAAGAGAGAGGAGAATCAACTATGAAACAGCACTGATGAGTTCCAAACATTTGCCAATTTTATTGTCTCAGTTTCCTCGGGGCATTTTTTTTTTTAATGTTTTAATTATTTCTAGGAGAGAGAGAGACAGCGTGAGCAAGGGAGGGTCAGAGAGAGAGGGAGTCACAGACTGAAACAGGCTCCAGGCTCTGAGCTGGCAGTCAGCACAGAGCCCGACGGGGGCTCCAACCCACGAACCGCGAGATCATGACCTAAGCGAAAGCCTGATGCTTAACCGACTAAGCCACCCAGGCGCCCCTCCTCGGGGCATTTTAAAGATACAGAGCAAGTTATTCCATTAGGACTGGTCATGCCTTCTGGTGATGTGTCCAGGTTAGTTACTACCCCCACAGACAGCCTCCCCCTTTCTCTGTCCTTACCTGCTTACACCTTCAGCCTTATTAACTGGCAGGAAAATACTCCTCATTATGTGGGGTGAGGGACTCAGCAGCCTCATGGTCAGCAGCTCCAGCTCACTTCCCCCTACCCCCAAACTGCTCCAACAATCGACCTCAGTGAAATCCGTCCCAGGTTCGGATAGGGCCTCTATCTAGTTCGGCTTTTGCCTGGGGGCTGTAACGGAGCTGCGTGTATTCTACAGTGTGTGTCTGGGTGTGGGTATATGTGCAAATCTTTACTTAGCCTTCTTATTTTCAGTATGATGTACTCACATGTCTTCCTCAGTTTCTGGTGTCCCTGAGTCCAGAACCTCTCTGGTCGAGTTTCTCCAGAGATAAATCTTTTCTAGCAGGAACAACCACAACAACAGAAATCTATCTTTTATTATATTACAAGAGGCGGGGAGGAGTCCCAGAAGACTTAAATTCTTCTTAAACCCACTCTTGTTATCAGGCCCACCTGCCCTGGCCTTGCTGTTTCCCTGGGACTTTACTATTTCTGCTTTCTGGGGTTCTGAGGGACAAACTCCTTTGTAGGCACTTGGTCTGACCTCTCTTCTCTCAACAAAGTCACTTGCCAGTCTTCACATTTTGTGGTTTGGGGTTACTGATATCTCTTGGTTTCAGTGAGGATGGAGTTTGTGTTTCTGTTTCTTGTTCTCCTTTTCAGTTTTGGGTGATTTTTATAAAAACTCTTTAGATAGTAAAGACTGTTACTTTTTTTTTTTTTTTAAATGTTTTATTTATTTCTAGGAGAGAGAGAGAGACAGCGTGAGCAGGGGAGGGTCAGAGAGAGAGGGAGTCACAGACTGAAACAGGCTCCAGGCTCTGAGCTGGCAGTCAGCACCGAGCCCGACGCGGGGCTCGAACCCACGAACCGCGAGATCATGACCCAAGCGAAAGTCAGACGCTTAACCGACTAAGCCACCCAGGCGCCCCAAGACTGTTACCTTTTGTAATGTTGCAGATATTCTCCGTTGGTCATTTGACTCATAATTTTTAGTAATGGCTTTTTTTATTGTATAAGAGTTTAAAATTAGTGTTTAGTCAGATCTATTGATCATGTCCTTGATATTTTTTTGCCTTTGTTATATGTTTTTAGAAAGACCTTCCCCATTGCTTAATTGTATGCTTATTCACTTATAGTTTCTGTTAGTCTTGTTATGTCCACAGCTTTGATACTTAAATCTTTAATGTATCTGGAAATTATTCTGTCATAAAATTTCTCCGTGTCTTTGTCGTCATCGTCCTTCTCCTCTGCCTCCTTTCCCTACTCTTCCTCCTTCTCGTTTTCTCTCAAGTGGGGAGCTTCAATAGAGATTGTAGTTTTAATGAGAGGTGAAAGGAAGAGGAAGACAGACAGGGTAAAGATAGAGCACATTCTGTTTATTATTAATTCCCCTGTTCTGGTAATCCCTCACCTCAAAAATTTCCAAATCTCACTCACTTTCTAGGCAAAAACTAGCAGGTTCTCTCCGAGGCTATTTTTCTCATTTTCCTAATGAGTTTAATTCTTAAGAAGACAAGAGAAGTGTGCTCTGGGCATCTGGTTAGAAAGTCTAACCCACTTTTTGATTTCTGTTGCTTCTGGAGACTTGCTTTGAAGTCTCAGATAAAGAACACTGGGAATATCTTTATTCTTTAAAAAATTTTTTTTAATGTTTTATTTATTTCTGAGAGAGAGACAGCATGAGCAGGGGAGGGTCAGAGAGAGAGGGAGACACGGAATCTGAAGCAGGCTCCACGCTTGGAGCTGTCAGCACAGAGCCCTATGCAGGGCTCATACCCACAAACCGTGAGATCATGACCTGAACTAAAGTCAGACACTCAACCGACTGAGTCACCCAGGCACCCCATGGAATATCTTTATTATTGGAAGAATCACAAAGGACAGAAATTTGTAAGTTGTTTAAATCACTTTGTAGTCTTAAAAATACATATTCTTTTGAATGGATAAAACATACCCTTGTTCCAAATTCAGAAAAACAGAAGGGGAGACAGTGAAACATTTTGCCATCTTCACTTTTAGTAGTATCTAAAAGTGCTGTCTTTCATATTCTTTTTTTTAATTTAATTTTATTTATTTTGAGAGAGAGAGAGAGCAAGAGTGTGTGGGGGCACTTGGGGGAGGGACAGAAAGGGAATCCCAAGCAGGTCTAGTGCTGTTAGTGCAGAGCATGACCCGGGGCTCGATCCCACAAACCATGAGATCATGACCTGAGTCGAAATCAAGAGTTGGATGCTCAACTGACTGAGCCACCCAGGTGCCCCTGTCCTTCATATTCTGTGCATACTCCAGTCTATATGTGCATATATCACTCCCACTCATTGCCTCCATTTTTTAAACACAAATGTTGGTATACTATATGGTCTTTTTGTTCATCTCGCTTTTTTTTTTTGGCTTCACAATGTATTTTGGAGATTGTTATAGATCAGTATGTAGAGAGCCTTTTTGATGGCTGCATAATATTGCTGGATCTCTTCAGAAATGAAACATGTTGGGTTATCTATAATAGTCTGTTATAAGGCAGAATGGTAGATTAGAAAGAAAGTGGGTATTGGACCCTGGCAGAACCTGGGTTTAAATCCCAGCTCAGTCATTTATTTGCTACATGGATGTGGACAAGTTACTTAGATTGTCTGAGTCTTGCGTTTCTTATTTGTGAAATTAGAATGATAACAATACCTACCTTTCAGGGAGAGTTATTATGAGAATTAAGTGATTGCTATTTGTAACATACCTGACACATAATAGATGCTGAGTAGAATTTTCTTCCTATCATTTGTGCATTAACTTGATTTACTTTGGATAATTTGTGCCTTGAATAAACTGGGTTGATATTGAGCTGTGAGAACATTTTCCTATGTTTCCTATCCCCCAAGTTTTGCTTTTTACTGGATTAGGATTAATAAGAGACCATTATTTAAAGTTTTGTTTTATCATGTTCCTGTAACATTTGGTTAGTAGAATGAATTGGACTGGTGATATATTTAATTGACTCAGATAGAGGAAAGTGTGCCAGAGTTGGCATTTTATCTTGTTATTTTAGAACATGCACAGAAGCTGATACCACTTTTGTTGGACAGAAATCAATAGGAACCAGATGAGCTTGGTGTTTTCTTCCCCACCTGGTAGTAAAGGGTTTTAGCTGTTACACCGTCGCTGTGCCTTAGCTACTACTTTCTACTTCTCTTTTCAGGTCTTTTCTTGTTATCTGTTGATTGCTTCTATGCCAGAATTTCCTAGTCCAGAGAGAGATCATTTGATGGACCAAGCCAGTCACCACTAATGCTATTTGAAACGAGCTTTTCATGCGAAGGAACTTCATGAGTTGCTGGCCTCATGAAGACTG